ATTTTCTTCGTTGAGAAGATGAAACAAAAGTGTAAGTTTTGGGTATTGAGTTTTGCAAGGGAATGATAATGCTCGTAGCCTTCGCAACAAGCGCTGGCTGCACCGTTTCGATGCCAATTCCCTCGGTCTCTTTGTCGTGTCTTCCATCAAGGCTGGCCACACCCTTTACGCTACCTCCATTATTAAGTCTATGCTTCGCTCTAGTTATCTCCCCCATATAAAGGCATGAAGTGTCATCGATAGTCACCTTGCCACGTCCGTTGATTAAGGTGACGTTTGATAAATCTGAAAATTCAAATCTAAAAAGTTAAAAAGATATTAAATGTGTCTGGAATCTGAAAAGATACATAAATGCTTTTCTACTTTTTAGATTATCTGAATTCATAAGTTTTGTGTTGGATCAACCCTTTAACATCTGAAATTTATTGATTTTACTATTTTACCCCTAAAACATACTATTTGGAAATGTTGAATTCAATTTGTATTATCTCATAAAAAATAAATTTCAACCACAAAATAATATTAAAACAATACAAATAAAAAAATAATAAATTCATAATTACTAATTAATAAATGAAACGATTAAATTTGAAATATAATTAATGATTATAAAATATTAAAATAATTAATAATTTTTAAAATTTAATGAAATAATTAAAAATCACTAGTTAATAAAAATAATTAATAATTAACACAAGTAAATTTAATAAAAAATAATCAATGTCTAATAAAAGATATTAAAAATTAATGAAATAAGCAACGGTGACGGTGGTGGGAAGACAGGGGAGGGAGGGAGAGAGAGAGAAAGAGAGAGAGAGAGAAAGAGAGAGAGAGAGAGAGAGAGAGAGAGAGAGATGTTGAATGTTTAGGTTTTCTAGGTTTGGGGTTATAAGGGGTAACTCATGTCATTTCCAAAATATTGTAAGGATATTTTGGACTATGCATCGGCTCTGAAATGCGTCTGAGCACGTTAAGAGCCGACCCAAGGTCTTTTATTTTTAAATCTGAAAATAAGATTCAAACCAATTTGAATAGGTTAAACCAAACAAGGGCTGAGGTCTAAAAAATAGCATTTTCATATTCAGACCTCTGAAAAGTGCAATCAAACGCCACCTAAGTAGGTGTTTGGCATCAATGTTGGGAACATCACACTTTTTTTCAAAAAATGGTGCTTATTTTTTGTTTGGAATCAGTGTTGCTACATAGGCATTTAACAGCACTGGTTTTGCTTGATACCAGTGCTGACAACAACATTTTCAACATTGATCTATATTATCCAATGTCCACATTGATGTCACATCATTGCACCACTGGCAACAATACATCATTTTTCTCATAAAATATTGAATTGGGTGTTGCTTTAGACCACACTTTCCCAATTTCCAAGGCATGGGTTTTAAACAAGAGGGCATTGTTTGAAGTGCCGCTTTCTCTGATATGGCACCTACGTGACACCATTTTCTCATAAAACAACATAAATGCCAAACACCCACCAAGTATTGCGGACTTTCGCAAATGGCTATTTTTTTGTATCGTAAGTGGTCTCTTCGGATTTAGACCTAGAGTTCTGGACCACTCAAACTATCGTGGAAATTACTTCTCGCCAAAATGTTGTACCAAAACAAATATTATAAAGCTGAAGAGATGATGGATTTCGAATTTCAAGTTACCTATGAAAGCTCATATAATTACTGCTAGGTTTAATGCTTTTTTAATCAAAATTTTGAATGCTAGAAATCCCTTTTTGATCTTTATAGTGGTCTTGTCATTTCTTATTATCATTTTCTTTTAAAACTAGAGAATGATCTCGTACTAAGTACGGGGTAACTAAATATGTGTATAATTTAACTTAAAGTTTACTATATCAAAAATTAAATAAAAAAAAACTAATATGGGTCTTGCATCTTTATAATTGACAATCTATTCTGACCTATTTTATTTGAAAACCATTATTAATTTATGTTTTTTTAATTTGATTTAAGATATTAAATGATATTTTATTCGTAAACAATAACCCACTTTATTTGGTATTTACTATTTATCTAATAAATCTATTTTGAGTTATTTATTTTGAAAAGTTAAATCAGGTTGCTTCCTAAAAGTTAAATCAAGTTTGTAATTAATAAAGTATTTTCTTTTTGAAAAAAAAAATCATTTAAAAAAAACGTGGGTTTATGGTAATCTTTTAATGGATCCCACCATTTGTATTTAATAGACTATGGGTAAACATGTGTTAAGCTAATAAATAACTATCTATTAAGAATGTTTAGGAGTGAAACTACCCACTTTTTGAATCATATTTATTGAATTAATAGGATGCCATGTGTCTAAATGGTGGTAGTGGGCTGTGGGATTTAAAACAACTTATCAGAAAATGTCATGTGTTTAGCTTTCTGAAAAAATGAGAAAGCCAAATGTCTAAATCTAGGCACGTGAAATCTAATACATATATATATATATATATATACCTACCCCCACCATTTAGGCACATGAACTTCTAAAAAAATGCCATGTGCCTAGATTTCCAAAAAAATGAGAATGTCACGTGCCTAAATGGTGGGGGTAGGTATATATATATATGTATTAGATTTCTTATCAAGTCTTATCACTCCTATCTCTTATACGACTATTTAATTCCGTAATGTGGCGCATTCATCGTGTTACTGTCCCGGCCATATCCGATGATGCCCGGCCTAGTACAGTTGCCTACAAATGTTGTGCTTGATAAATGTGCCAATTTCAGCAATACTTGGATTCAACATTAGTTGAGAAAGAGATAAGGGAGAAGAAGAGATATGGTTTATAGGACCGGATAGGGAACCGTTATGGGGTCAGCTTTCGGGTCGAAAAAAAAATAAAAAATGGCCACAAACCGTTGTTCGATCCAATGGTTCAACCACACATGTCAGTGGTTTGTTGACTAAATAAACGGTTATTTGCCAAAAAAACAGTTTTGGGGTGAAATGAAATCAGTTAGGTGATTAATTCCCAGCTTTCTGGTATAGTCTTGCAAACCATGGATTAAACTTCTTAGGAAAAGGGATGACATCCAAAGGGCATTTGTGTCTTTTCGCATGCCACTAAATGTCTAGTTAACGGTATGTACTAATTTGGCATATTTTGGAAATTTAGGTACCAAATTGGCATATTTTGAAGTTTGGGGACCAAAGTGAGACTAGACCCAAAGTACATGGTATTAATATGCATATTTCCTTTTTTTTTATATAAAAACATGGGAGGTTAATCAAAACGGAGTTTGGATCTCCTACATAGTGCGTCCTACACACGTTTTTGAATATCCAATCGTATGATTCCATATAAGCATCCAATTATGTGCAAATGTCGTACGTGTAATGAATGTTAATAGACGTTAAACACCCTTCTAACCTTTTCATATTAAACATTAAAAAAATAAGCAAAAAAGAAAGACAGAATAGTATGAACAAATTTATCATTTACCCATAAGAGATGTGAGGGAGAGGGGTTCCCGTAAATCCCGTCTTTTTCCCAATTCCCTCCCTGCCTCCACTAGTACCACCATCTACTCCACCATCTTCTAATCCGTTGGTACCACCAATTTCAATAGTTATTACCTCTCCTCTGACGGGTAATGGTACCATAGGAAGAACAATTTATCCTCCGCCCAACAGATGCTACACTGTCTCACTACCTCCCAACCACTCCCTCCTTAAGCATGGTCCAACTCCGTCTAGTTGAAGACTTCCTTTATTTTTCTCAATTGATCTCTCATCTGTCACCACTTTCTTTATAGAGATAGAAACAAAACTCATAAATAATAATTATATTACATTTGTAAATCTACAATTTGGCATAGTGGGAAAGAACTTGGGAGTATCAAATTGTTTATGTACAAGCATTTTGATTTGATAGTGAGATTGATATTGAATTACTTGTTCTTTCTACAAAATTATCATCTTTTATTTTTTATATTTTTAAAATGCAAATTAAGATGGTTATTTTCTTCTTCTTCTTCTTTTTTAATGTTTGTTTGGAAATATCAAACAGTTTATGGTGAGTGGAACGATGGGTATGGGAAACAAAATGGAATGAGGATTTGAGGATCATCCAATTCACCAACCATGTGCTTGTGGGGTTGTGAAAATTAACAGTAGAAAGCTGTAATGGTGAATAAAATGATGGTTCTAGGAAACCAAAAAAGTCAAAATGTCCCAAATGGAGAATAATGGGAGAAACAAGGAAAAGTAGAGGTGGTGGCAATCTAGCAGAATAGAGAACACCCACTTAATAATAAATCTTTTAAAAGACCACTGGATGCGTTTGTTTATGGTGGCCCAAACAACCCATGATGCATGCTTAGTAAAAATTTGCTCGATTATCATAAAAAAATTGAAGTTTCATAGTATTGCAAGGCAGATCGAATTAAAGCTAGTTAATGTTTTTTAAAGCCCAAATACAAAATTTCCATTCAATAGATAGGGGTACATTTTAAGACAAAATATATGGTGACGTAGTTGATTGAATGTAATAATAAATACACATTGTTAAACATGAAATTCTATTTTAATAGACAGAAATAAATAAAAAAATAAACAGATTTTAACATGATTGATTGAAATTTAGATTTAATGTAATATCATCAAGATATATAAAACATAAATCGGACTCATTTACGTGTCCATGTATCCATTTTGAATTCGATTAATATATTAAATTTTGTATAAAATTAGCATAAATTTACAAAAATTAAATATGAAGCAAAAGATAAACTATAAATAGAAAGAATAGGGTTACATAAATCCCAATTCTACCTCAAAATAAATATGAAAAAAAAACCCTACTCCAAAGACAAATTCATGGTTATGAGGTCAATAATGGTTAAATGGATATCCAAATCCGATTTAAATAATGGCATTCAAACGTTGATAAAACGAATTATGCATTTCAAAATTCGAGGACCAAATGGCACTAGGCACACAGTAGAATATACTGATCGAGAATTTTCCGTATTTTCTTCTTTGGACGGTTCGCGTGGGTTGGGCGCCTAGTGTTCTCAAGTCTAAAGACACACTCTCTCTCTGTGGCTGGGCTAGCGTTCATGACACTGCGACAAGCGAGCAAATTCTAACTGAGAACCCCCGAAGTCTCTGCGTGTTTGCTGAGAGCAGGAGGGGAGGGAGAGAATGCCTTACATAACGCGACCTTCGCGGCAATCTGACTACAACAATTTCCCTGCAAGTTGCCCCATCGTCATCGATAATGGCGGTTCCAACTTCCGGATCGGGTAATGAAAGGGATTGTCTTCCTTTATACCTCAATCTGTTAGTATTACTTGATTCTCTTTCATTTGATCAGTTTCTTCATTGATTTAGATGGGCGGGAGAGTCTGATCCTCGTATTACCTTCCGGAACGTTGTTCAGAGGCCTCGTCACAAAGCAACCGGTACACATTTTTCTAATTCGTTCCCTTCTTTATGTTTTTATGTAAAGTCGCGTCTCTGACAATTCAAGCAACTCGGCATAGTAAGAAAACCAATGCCTTGAAAATATCTGAGGGGATTCATGGAAGAAACTTCCTGCTGTTTTCCCCTTTTTCATGCTATTTTCTTGCCGTTTTTAGCTGGAAAATCACATCAGATGCATAATAATCATTACACTTGTGTTTCTTTTGTCTTTACTTGATTTTTCTTCAGTATGTATACGAATAGAATAGAGGATTCCATTTATTACCATATAGGCAAGCTGGCATAGAATTATAGGAACCATGTTCCCATGCTAATAGCCATGGTTTTTCGTCCTTTTCACTTCTCTTATGCTTACATTAAAACCAAGACCTGTCAAAATCAACGAGCATCAATGCATCTCAAATTCTTTAGCAAGAGGAACCTTAATAAGAGGATAATATGGTGGTTATAAGACGGGTATGAAACCATTCCCTACCGAGTTTAATTTTCCATTCTCCAAATCCTTTTTCCTCCAACTCATTGAACACCTTCCCTGCAAATTCTTCTCCTCCCAGAAGAAACAACCATAATTTTTTTGCTCACTTCAACCTCCTTGTTCACTACTGTTCCAAATCAATGGAGCTTGACACTCTATATGTTTTATTGAACATCACATTGTTGTCTTTCTTCCCCTTCATCTTCATATTCTCTCTTTTCATTATCAATTGAAGGTTTTGTTCTATAGTATATTTTTCCACTACAAACCTTCACACTTGTCACGTCACTGCAAGCTTCCTCCGCCCTCACTACCTCCTCCTCTTCTGATTCTACGGCATTTGAGATATTTCCAACCACCTCCCTCGACTCACTGACACTGTATACCCACAAATTCTACCACCCCTCGCCTGCTCCACCAGGCCCCCCCTCCCCTCAATTCCTTTCCACTCTAATCTTCTTGGTTCTCCTTCCCTAAGTCCCTTCCACCAACACCACCCCTTTCTACTTCATCTTCTCTCTCCCCTCTTCCCTCAGACCTCTCTTTTTCTTTTTCACCCTCCTTCTCACACTACTATTATTACCTTCTCTTCCAATTTCTTCTTGAACACTTTTTTCTACACTTCCACCCTTCCCACTCCCTTTCATTTACTTAACTCCCCTCTTTTGTTCACCCCCCTGGAGATACTTGCCTCAGAAGGACCTTTCATGTTTCTCTACAGCAAAGACTCTTCCCTGCAACAATATTGGGTTTACTTGTTGCAAGTAACACACAATATGACCTTATGCATTGTATAACACAAATATAACATGGTATATAACACAAAAAAGGTGTCTGCCTGGCCCTTTTCCTTGACTGAGAGGGTGCCTAACATGTTTGCAAACATGGCATGGTATATGGCACGTCCTAGAGAACACCTTGTCACCTAGGTATCAGCATCACCTTGATAACTATGTTTTGTAACTTTATATAAAAAAGCAACAATGATATAAATTGAAGAAGATACAACAAATTTCCATATTTTAAATCTAACAAAATGTTTCACATCAAAACACAGAATTATCATAACTAAAAAGGTAAGGACAATAACGTATTAAATCTATATATTTTCATATTTTGAACATAGTATTTGCAATGTCATAAGATTAAATAGAATAATATCATAAGTTGCAATTTTCTAATTTTAATTATATATATACATATATATATATATTTTGAAGAATAAAAAGGAAATTCATTAAATTGAAAAAGATGCAGTACATCTCAAAATATTGGTTGTCTAGATGACAAACCATATGCTTAACAGGATTACACTGAAAATGAATCAAAATTACATGGATTCAATTCCAAAATATTCCAGAAGTTCTCCAACAGATCTTCCTTGTGTACTTGGTTGAACTCTGGAAGTCTTAGGGTCGAAGCAGAAATCATATTGCCCACTCCTGCTATCAGATATTCTATGTTTTTTTGACTTGTCTTCAAATACCCTTCTATTCCTTTCTTTCCAAATGGCCCAACACACTGCAAATGGAATACAGCTCCACAAGATTTTGGCTTTCTTGCTTCCTCTGATTTTAGGCCACAAGGAAAAGATTTCTGCTGATGTCACTGGATGGAAAGCAGCCATTCCAAACAGATGAGAGAAGAACTTCAACTTCCACATAAAGTTTGCCACATTGCATGAGAAGAATAAATGGGGAACTGTTTCCTCCGCTTCACTGCACATATAACAACAATTTGCAAGCTGCCAGCCTCTGAGTTTCAGATGATTGCTGGTTAAGATACTATCATGTGCCACCAGCCACGCAAAAGCCTCTACCCTTGGGGGCACATGATTGCCCCACACACCCTTTATCTGATTTGAATCCCTACCATCTCTCAGCAGAGCCTTGTAAAAGGATTTAACTGAGAATCGTCTTTCTTTGCAATCTTTCCACCACAAACCATCTGTTGTATCTCTGGAAATGTTAGCCTCTTCCAATTTCTCCAATAGCTGAATGCATTCTTCCACTTCTTGGTCCAATAAAGGTCTTCTAAACTTTGGATTCCAGACCACTTGCTCCCCCCTCCATTCGTAACACTGCTCAATTGGCACTTTCTGTTCTGTCAATTTATAAAGTCTAGGACATACCTCACATAATCTTCCCAAAACCTTACCTTACAACCTTCCCCACTTTAAACTTAACTAAAGTTCTGAAATTTTGATTGAAGCTCATGATTCCTTTCCATACACTCATCCCATAAGAAATTCTTACCTCCCTAAATTCCCACCTGAACCTCATCACTCCATATTTCCTACCACCACCCTTCTCCATAATGCCTCCCTTTCTCCCTCTTGCCCAAACATCCACAACCATTTCCTTAACAGAGCTTTATTAAATAGCTTTACCCTTCTTAGCCCTAAGCCTCCCCCCTCCTTTGCTCTACACACCTTCTCCCACTTAACCAGGTGGAATTTTTTTGTCCCCCTCACCCCTTCCCGTAGAAAGTCCGCTGAATTTTTTCCACCCTTGCAGCCACTTCTTTAGGGACTTTCAAGAGGGAAAGGTAATATGTGGCAGACTCAGTGTTTTAAAAGTGAAAGGCGCAAAAAGGTGCAAGGGCCATTTTGCGCCTGAGGCGCAAGGCACAAGCCAAGGCATGCGCCTTTTTGAGGCAAGGCGCACAATTAAAAAAAACTAAAAAATAAAAAAATAAAAAAATACAAACAATTATAAAACATAATATTAATAAAAATATAAACTTAAGTTTTAAAATAAATGTTTTAAAAACCTATTATCTAAAATTAAAATGCATAAGCATAATATGTAAAGCATATTCAAATGAGAATTTAAAATGAAATCAAACATATAAAACATTTTCAACCATATAAAACCCATAATCTCTTCTTTTCCCAATTGCATCAAGTAGCTAATGTGACATATTACATTCTTAATTCTACGAGCCGCCTTTGTGCCATGCCCCTCGAAGCAAGCCCAAACATCGGAGCTTCGAGAACCCCCTATTTGGTAATGTTGTCCATTCATTCATCCTAATAAAATATCTTCTTAAAAGCAATCAAAACTATAAAATCATTATTTTTTGTTTGAAAACTAAGAATCTAAGACCCTAACATGGACTTATTTGGGATGGCCTCGAGGGGTGTGGCACTGGGGTCCGGGGGCAGAGCCCCCGGCCCAGCCGCCAAACTCAAAAAAAGGAAAAAGCGGCAAATTTTCAAAAGGCGCACGCCTGGTCTAAGGTGCAAGGCTCACCAAGCGCATGCCTAGGCGCACCAGGCGTGCGCCTTTTGAATGGGCTGCGCCTAGGACCTGGGCGAGGCACCTACCCTAAAATGCGCCTCGCCTGTGCACCTAGGCGCGCCTCAGGCGCGTCTTTTAAATCATTGGGCAGACTTGAGAGAACACTCTTAATGAGTGTGATTCTCCCACCCAAAGAGAGGTACTTGGCTTTCCATCTGTCTAACATCCTCTCCACCCTTTCTAATAAAGGTTTCCATATACTACTTGATGATGCCCTTGCTCCCACCGGTAACCCAAGATAAATGAAAGGCAGCTCCCCTACCTTACATTCCAGCACCTCTGCAAACTGTCTCACTTCCTCAGCTCTTAAGTCCCCAACTCCTATCAAAAAGCTCTTCTATAAGTTTACCTCTAGGTCCTCTAGGCCAGTCAGCATCTCAAAATTGGCCAAAATAGCTCTTAGGTTTAGGACTTGGAATGCTGAAGCGTCTAAAAATATTAGGGTATCATCAGCGTATTGTAGATGAGTGATACTCAGGCCTTCATTTCCAACTTTGAATCCTTCTATCCATTCCCTCTGCGCTCCTTTCTTCATGATCAAGTTAAGTGCTTCCATCACTATGACAAACAGGAAGGGGGAAAGTGGATCCCCTTGCCTCAGCCCTCTAGAGGCTTGAAAAAAATTCTGATGACACACCATTAATTTACCATGAGAAGGTGGCTGAAGAAATGCACCCATATATCCAACCCCTCCAGACCTCCCCAAACCCCATCAACCTTTGCATTTCCTCCAAGAATCCCCATTCAACATGGTCATAAGCCTTTTCTATGTCTAGCTTACAAACCAAGCCTGGTCTTCCACTTCTTAATCTTGAATCTATACATTCACTAGCCACCAATATCCCATCCAGAATCTATCTACCTTCTACAAAGGCCATTTGAGTCTCCCCTATCACCTCCTGAATAACTTTTCTCAGCCTACCTGCCAGTACTTTTGCCAATATTTTGTAGGGACTACTCAGCAAACTTATTGGCCTGAATTCTGTTATGTTCACTGCACCGCTTTTCTTCTGTATTAAAGAAATGAAGGTTGCATTCACCTTCCTGTCTAGATTCTTGGATTCCCAGAACTCCTTTAGCATCTGCATAAAATCCTCTTGTAAAAAGTACCAGCGGCTTTTAATGAAGTTAAAATTAAAGCCGTCTGGTCCTGGTGCTTTGTCCCCATTGATTTTTTTTCAGGGCCTCCTTCACCTCTCCA